CTCCGTCAGAACATGTCTTCAGAAAATGTCTAAAATCTGCCCTGTGCCCCATTGACCTTTGACCTGTGACCTCCAATTTCGGCACAGTGATGGCTTTTCCTACTATGATGCTATACACCGACTATCACGAGCCTAGGTTGAGCCGTTTAGATTTGTGCCGCAATTCTGCATTTCCTCCCTATACCTTAAGTTAAGGAAGAAATGTTCCCCCTTCTTTTACACCTCTTGACCTTTGACCTTTGACCCCCAGCTTCAACATCCCAACTCGTTTTCGGATTACCCCCCCACGTCCAGACTTTCGAATCCGTACGTCGAGCCATTTAGATTTGTTCCCAACTGTTAATGGACGGACGGACGTACGCACGCTCATGCGATTGTACAAGCTGCATCTGACTATGTCAGATGAGCTAAAAATATTAAAAATTATGGGTCCCAAAATCGAATCATGTGGTACGCCTTTTGTGGTATTTATAAAAGTACTCGTACTGCTTCTGAGCTGTACGCATTGCTCACGGTTTGAGAGATAGGTTCCCATTAGTGCTGGAACCTATCAACTATTCAACTTCCTGGAAGTTGAACGGGGTATCAGGAGGTGGTATAATTTTTCGAATAGCCTTTATACTTGGATGTTCTGTGTGTACCGCACATTTACAGTTTTCTCCAATTTTCGAGGCAACATTAACGAAGTACTCATTAAAAAGATTGCATACCTCGTTTTGATTTGAGACGGTTTCATTGTTGTGTCTCAAGTGAATTTGGTTCTGTTTAGTATTCTCCTTCTCAGAGAGAAAAGGGCGTATGGTGGACCAGAAATCATTCGATTTTGTGCCACCACCGCATCGTTTGGAAAAATATAGCCATATTGCTTGCTTCTTCAACCTGTTTACGTTGTTTCTCTGTTTTCTATATGCTTCTCAGTTCTGCCTGGATTTGCATCTTTGGTGGTTCCTATAAAGCGCCTTTTTGTGATTTATCGCTTTACGAAGTACACCATTCATAAACGGTGCTTTACTTTTTCTCTGAGTTTTCTGTTTGAATGGTATGTGTTTGTCTATGACTTCACCAAGCATCAGTTCATGTGCCCAGTATACGTCATCAACGTCATCAAAGACGTGGGCCACATGAAATGGTACTTCGCTTAGTTCTTGTTTTAGAAGTTTCTCGTCAGTTGCTTTCAAACTTCTGTACACTAGCTCTTCCTTTTTAAAACCCTGTACATTCCCTCTAATTAAATACTGTATACACAAGGTGATACCAATCACTCGCTCAGTACAGTGTCGAAAGACTTGGTACAGTACAGCTTTTCTGGTCTGTTTGTCACAATAATGTCGACCAATGAGGGTTTACAGTCTTTCATGAAACATGTTGGTTTGTCTACAATGTTGTTACGTGTTGTACTCAGTAACGATTAATCAGACAACACGTTTTGTCAGGATCACTCAACGGGTCACGCTTTATTACAAAAGCCCGCCATACCAGTTCTGCTTCTGTTGCCGGGATGCACGCGTAGCGCATGCATCTACTTGCATAATAGCTCATAAACGTATCACTTAACATATCGAATGTATCACATATATCAGACATGGGTTTCCCCTTTGTGGCATCACACAAATTTCAGATCGTCTATAATTACAACATTCTCATAGTGAATATATGCTTCGTCTAAATGCGTATAACAATCTGAAATAAAAACATTTCCCCGTTCGCTTGGCGGTCTATATAGTATACAGACTACCAGCCATTTAGCTTTGCCTAATTTTACTTCTACACTAATATCTTCCGAGTGTTCAAATTGTAACTCGGTCCTCTGCCGAGATGGAATGTCAGATCTAATATACATAAGTATTCCACCACCATATCCTGTCCTGTCAGATCTATATAATTTATATCCATCTACCTCAAATTGGGTGTTGGGAAACGACGCATCCAGCTTGGTTTCCTGAATAGTCAAAATGACAACTAGGTTATCACACAAAATTTCATGTAGCGCTATGTATTTGTATCTGAAACTGTTTATGTTTATGTGCGCCATAATAACGTTCTTGTTGTGTTTTGCTCTCGTCTCTCGTTGTTCACGAAATAGCATGTCCTTGTCTCGTGATCTGTTCTCTTCATCGTTTGTTCCGCTATCGCTAATTGGACCCTCGTTTATGTCGGAGACCGAGTCGGTCGTATTGTCAAAGAAGGAGTCACTGAACGGTGGTAGTGTGCAGCGATCACAATACCAATCGCAATCAGTAGTCGATAATTGATTGTACTCAATGTTGTTTATTCTGACACACTTGGCATGGTGCCATAGTTCACATGTACCATCACATAGAATGCCGGCTTGGTTTCGCTTCACTGGTTTTCGACACACTCTACACGGATACTTGTACACGGGGCCTGGGTTTACTTGGATGTCGTTTTCCATTAATAGGCACAGGGTTGTGACGTACCGGTTTGTCGATGTGCGTCTTGTTGTTGTCATGGGCCGCCATCTTTGTTTATTTGACAACAATTCGTTGCCATGGGGTATAAGTTCAGACAACGCTAAATTTGCCCTTGAATATTCGCAATCCATGTATGCACTAGATAAAAGATAATCTCCTGACGTGACCGTTTCTCGTAGGTCAGGCATAGCGGGAGGCAGTAGATGGGTCAGTATGATGATCACGGTTAGCGCTAGCAGAGCACCACACTCACCAGTCGCCATCTTGAGTGGTTTGATGACTTATCAAGATACTTGCTTATTTTCCAACTGCGCCGTTTATTTATTGTCTAGTTTATGTGCGGCCGGCTACTTTTTATGCATACATCAATGCAGTCTTTCTCTGGTTTCGGAGCGCTGGTATAGTATTCGTCATACAGTACGAACAGTGTTATAGTGTTCAGTGGTACACACGCCCAAAATCCACTGCGCCGCGGCGACCGCCTGCTGAGTATGGCTCTCCGAGATCGCGTGTAGACGCCATCGCCAATAGAACAAATGCAATATGGCCGCCGAATTTTTTTTGCGGCCGTATTGGATTTGTTCTATTGGCGATACATACATGCACACAGCTTCGATGCAGTTTCAGGGCCAGTTTCCCACTAAAAACACAATACGACGTCATCACTCTCACGTTAATGCAAAGTTCATTAATGCATATTTCAGATTTGGATGACATAGTAGAATGATAGTCACTTTAAAATGTCCATTATGTGTAAATTTACTTCCTGTGGTAAAAATATACAGCTTCCATCTATCCTCCACTCCCAAATATTATAATTATTAAATTATGCAGGTAAACTTATCTATGTATTATAATTTTTATTATTTTGTGATTTCTTCATTTATCCATCCAGTTATATATATGTGAAACCTTGTCGAATTAAGTTTCATTTCGGTGTAGATACGTTGATGTGATCGTATAGTCAGATGTAGTTTTCTGAACCTTAATTGCGTTGTGTTATTGTTCTTACTAGCTGAAACCCGCGCTAAGCGCGGGCTTAGTTACTGTGATGCATGTGTTACCATGTAGTGCAGTAGTGTTATGTGTAAGGTGTTATATGGAGAGTTTAGTGGTTGCACATGTTTGTTTTTTATGGTTGAGATGTCAATACAAATACATGTGCAATCATGCTTACACGTAACACATTAACCATTTGTTTGGCAAGTACACAGTGAAATACACACACCCACACAGAAATGTTTTATTGTATGCTATGTAGGCCTACTGGTTGATAATGCGGACTCCACAGTTAGAATATAGATAGATGTGAATGGGTACAACGTAAACGTAATATTACGTGCTTCGCATGTTTCCACTGTGTGCGGACCAGGTAATATTGCGTGGTTGTGATCGCTTATTTCTACGCATGTTTGCACTCTGTGCGGACGACGTAATATTACGTGCTTGTGATCGGACCGCTTGTGACAGATCGGTGTTCACGACACCCGTACACTGTACAACATTGCAGACTTCCAAAAAAAAATCTGCTCTGATGAAATTCAACTTGTACATCTCATAAGGGAAACTATGGCGAAATAGCTACTGAATATTTAACTTCATTATTACATGGTTATTTCTACTTACATTATGGGGCTTAGACACAGAACAGAGATACACAGAACAACACGAAATTGAAACCTGTTAAAACAAAACGAAATACAAACAGAACGAAAACAAAACAGCGCCCCCTATTTTCAGGCAAATGCGTACCTTTTTTGTGTTTTTCTGTCTTTTTTAAGACCGAACAAACGGTTTTCAACCGAGTATAGTTTAGAACCCGTCCCGTGTACTCATCGATTTCTTCTGTAAATTTGGCGCTATTTGGATCCAAACTGACGGAGCCTTTCATTAACATACATACATACAACATTCGCCAAATTATAGTAAGATGGTGACTTATACCGTTGTAACCCGTTCGTTGGTTCGTTTCGTGTTGCTTGTGCTTGAAGGAGAAGCGATCACACAAATAATTTCATGAGTCTAAATGAGCTTCCACGCACCAAGATTTATTGTTGCTCACGCAGTCCGGAAACGTAGTCTAATACATGAATAGTAACTGTGCGCGCGTTTGGAAACTGAAGGGCTCCCACGGTGTGGTCATATATATATGACCAGCGAGGTGACGTCACATCAGGGGTCCCCAGGGCCACTGCAGGCCGAAAAGCGTCCCCTCGCCACTCGCCTGTAGCGCACTGCACCACGTTGCGTACGGACGTGTCTGCATCAGGGTTTGCATCTACGCAGTTAGAACTGACATCCTGTTTGTTGTTGCACTGGCGTAAACATGTTGTTCACATTTACGACGCGCCTTGCTAGCCTGACAGCTTATGCACACAAAATCACATATGATTCTTATACAATAATTTTACTAATTACAAACTCTACGCGCCGCACTGTTACATATGTAGGAAGTTGCATTAAATGGTTTAAGTTTTTAAGTACTGTATTCATATATAATTATTTTATATAATTATTATACATAATTATTGGTTTATATTTGTTCATCTGTGTGATATATGTCTGCAGGACATGGATATATGAGATGACGGCTACACTGACGATGGACATGCTCCCACATGACGTTGCCGGTGCAGAAGCACTTGTGAAGAATCACAAGGAGCACAAGCTAGAAATCGACATTAAGATGAATGACTTCAAGTATTGGGGCAGTCTCTTACACATTCATTTATCTGTTTATTGCTTTTTGTTATATATTTGTTATTTATTAATTTTATAAATACATTAGTTTTTCACTCACTCATTCTGACGTTCATTTGTTTATTCATTTGTCTATTCGTTTTTACATTTATCTATTCATTCCTTCATCCATTCAATAATAGATGGGTTCTTCATTCATTTCTTCGTGTGATTACATATTTATGAATTTCTTCATCTGTGTACTTATTTAAGCATTTTACATTAATCTTACATTTACGAGCATGCAGACTTGCTTTATGAATATGATACATCAATTATGTGTTGCTATATTTAGTTAAAGGGATCCTTAATTTACTCTAGGTTCTAGGGTTATTTTCAGTTAATTTTGGTTAAAATTACGCTACATGAAAGGTTTCATGGTTCAATCACCATTAGAAATTTTTTTTTATGTTTTAAAACAAACGACTACAGTTTGATTACAACGACGGTGGCGCCACTCAAAGCGCACGATCTGAGAAGTTGCGCAAAACGACTTTTCAGCCAAGGGCTACAGACTGAGGGTGTTTCTTATTTATTCATTTAAAAGCAAGAGGATTGTAATATCTTATATATACGACATATATAGTTTCAGTTATATTATGGATAAATTTGTCCTAAGATGAACATCGTTCGGTTAAATAGCATTTAGGTATAAATATAATTGCACCTTTGTGATTAGCCCTCGGTCTGTAACGTGCAAAATATATTGGGAAATGCGCAACTTTTTCAGGGTGGCAACACGGTCGCGGGTGTCAATGGCGCCGTTAAAATTTCGTAGCGTTGATGTATAATTAATTATAACAATTAAATTAGGTATCTGGTAACAAGTGCGTGTGGGTATAGACAATTTGTTATACAGTAAGTACAGTTGTATGCAGTAAAATCCTAGAGTCTACTATCCCTTTAATATTAGTAAGGGACTAGTATTAATCATTTAATTCTTTCTAAACCTGATTAAATGTAATGTCATGCCAAAGGTCAGTGAGAAAAGTATCATCTTTTGGTTGAAATAATGAGTTTGTATAATTTACAGTATTACTTGGCATGCATTTTAAAACTGCATGCTGTTTTTTTCTGCTGAGCAGGGAGTTCACAGGGAAAGGAGAAGCACTGATCAATCAAACTCACGTCCTGTCCCATGAGATACAGGAAAAGATCGACCGCATTAACACTGCAAGCGATCAGCTACTGGATGTCTGGCAGAAGCAAGCCGTGCTCTATGACTGCAACCTAGATGCACAGGTAGTTTGAAGTGCTCTACTCTATTGTAACACTGCAGTGCAGTATTTATATTATAGCTGGCTGATGACACCAGTATCTAGGTTTTTAGCTCAGCTAACGAAGTCAGATGCAGCTTGTAGAATCGCATGATTGTCCGTCTGTCCGTCCGGCCGTCCCTCAACAGTTGGGCACAAATCTTAACCGCTCGACGTACGGTCTTGATATTCGGGACGTCGGGGGATCGCGAAAAAGACTCGGGATGTCGAATTTGGGGGTCAAGGGTCAAAGGTCAAGATGTGTCAATGAAGGGGGAATATTTCCCCCTTAACTTAAGGTATAGGAGGAAATACGGAATTGCGTCACAAATGTATAGTGTGATGTGGAGGAAACCCATCACCAGTGCGAAATTGGAGGTCACAGGTCAAAGGGCAGTGGGAAAAGGTCAGATATCAGAAATTTTCTGAGGACATGGCCTAACGGACCGAGTGCAAACTTTTTTGTTTCAGCGCTGACATACCATTTTTATCACTTTATTGAAAGGAACATGAAATCTACTTTCCGCTGACGTGCAAAGAGTAAGTGAGTGTGTCTGATAACCTTTTGGATAACATGGATTTGTTGACTGTTAACAAAGGACTGAACTGCTTTTGCTATTAGAGACCCCTCCACCCCACCACCACCACTACGCTCACGCTCGACGCATATCCATGATAACGTTAATATGGCGAAGTCATTAAAGTTGCACAGCTGTATCTTTATTACTGTACTACCGGTATAGCAAAACCTATCAACGTGGTGGCGGGAGGGCGCACTTGATTCGGTTGCCATGCAGTGAGTTTATCAGAAGGATACCCTGCTACAGTACACGTCAGTTGAGCGGTGTCGCTCTGCGGCACTTGTTGGTCAGATGACTTAATTCGACTATTTTTACTGTATATTCAGTTAGTATATATATATATAGTCAGCAGTATCTGTGAATAACTACATATATCTCTGACCTGTGATGTTTGTACTGTGGTTGGTGTACACAGGAAGGAAAGTTATACATTTTCTGCCTGGGCCAGCATTGCTGATATGAGTGACTATATAACAGACAATCACTGTTTGCAGCTGTTTAATCGTGATGCAGAGCAACTGCATGCATGGATGCGAACACGCGAGCCAGCACTGAAAGATACAAACTATGGCGGCTCAATGAGGGAGGTTGACGAGTTGGTTAAGAAGCAGGATGATTTTCAGAAGACAGTTGATGCACAGCTGGACAAGGTCAACGCCCTCAAGAGACAGACACTGGTGTGTTTCAACTGGCCCCACCAGATTTAATGACTAATTTCTTTTAACCAATTGTGTAAATGTATCTCATGGAGATATGGCCAATAGTACCCATAGAGTAACAATGCTATGATTGTTTCAGTAATAGGGTTTATTTTGGTTTTTCATTGAATCCCTGATCTGAATCATTACATCACATCATGTATAGCCCAATTCTGCAATATGTTATCATGATCACAGAGCAATGAGATGGGGTTATTTGACTGATTTTAGAATGCATTTTGTTACTACTACTACTACTACTACTACTACTACTACTACTACTACTACTACTACTCTTACCCATTCACGTTAATCTAATAAATTTGCAACCTGTTGCTTTGTCAAACATCAGCTAGAGAAGGCATTCCAGGAGAAAAAAGAGATTGAAATAAAGCAACGAGAAAAGGAGAAATTGCAGAAGAAACAGTCAGAGCTGGAATCACTACGACTAGTAGCAGTGGAGCCGAAACCTGTATGCAGTCAATGCACAATATATATTATATATATATATATATATATTATGAATGAAATTCGATATAATGCAATATATTGTAACCTAGTCGTCGAAGACCTGAAAGAGTTAGTAGCTTTTAACACTGGAGTTATGTTACTTCTCAGACTAAATTGGCTGTGGAAAGTAGTTGCTTACGTTGCAATATATTCAACGAACTACATTTATATTTTCTGACAGGAGGAACACGCAGAGTCATCAGATGACACCGTAAAATCTACAGAATCGGATGGACAGCCGGACTCCCCAGAGTCAGTGAGGATATTACAACAGCCTTTTGTAAAACCAGATGTGAAGGAAGCTTCAATGACTATGTCCTTGCTGCAGGACGAACAAGCCACGCAATACATAGGCACAGATGTTCACACTGAGAAAGAAGTGGTTGGAAGTTTTCCTACTGAGAAACACGAGCATGTCGAGCTGACGCCTCGGCCAGATGTCAATGATGCACGAAGAACATCTCCTGAAAAGCCAGAACAGCCATTTCCCCCAGCTAGGTTTGCCAAAACTGAGGCACCACAGAAATCATCTGGTATGCTTAAATGTACCTTGTTGGTATCAACTGACTTTAACATAAGTATCAGTGTTGTGGTGATCAACATAATTTTTAGCTCATCTGACGAAGTCAGATGCAGCTTGTGGAATCGCATGAGCGTCCGTGCGTCCATGTGTCCGTTCGTCAACAGTTGGGCACAAATCTTAACTGCTCAACGTACGGTCACGATATTCGGGACGGGGGGGGGGGGGTCGTGAAAAGGACTCGGAATGGCCAATTTGGGGGGTCAAGGGTCAAAGGTCAAGATGTGTCAACGGAGGTGGAATATTTCCCCCTTAACTTAAGGTATAGGAGGAAATACGGAATTGCTGCACAAATCTGAACGGCTCGACCTATGCTCTTTAATATTCGGTGTATAGTGTGATGGGCAGGAAACCCATCACCAGAGCAAAATTGGAGGTCACAGGTCAAAGGGCAGGGGGGAAAGGTAAGATATCACAAATTTTCTGAGGACATGGTCTAACGGACCCAGTGAAAAACTTTTTTGTGTTAGTGCTGACCTACCATTTTTATCACTTTATTGAAAGGACCATGAAATGTACTTTCCACTGACGTGCGAAGAGTAAGTGTCTGGTAACCTTTTGACCTTCAAAGGGAGGGTTAAACATGGATTTGTTAACTGTCAACAAAGGACTGAACTGCTTTTGCTAGTAGAGCCCCCTCCACCCGCCCCTACCTCCCCCCACCTTCCCCGTACCCCCTACCCCCGCCCCCCACCACCACCACTACGCTCGCACTCGATGCATTTCCATGATAACATGTTAATATAGAAAATTCATTAAAGTTACACAGCTGTATCTTCGTTTAGATTTTGAGAAAAAATGTTATGAAAGTAGCAATACAAATGAGTTCTAGTAAATTTTTGCAACAGACGAGCTCACGGTAGGTCTATATATAATATAAGCATTTCACCTTTGAAGGATTTCTAGTGAATTTTTGCAACAAATGAGCTCACGGTAGGTCTATAGTATATATAATACTAGAGCACTCGGAGAGCACAGACCTCCGCCAAGGCAGCTGAATTCTCTCAATGTGAAATTTTTTATTAATTAATTAAATATTTAATTGGATCCGGATTAGTGCGAGCGTGCAGGTGGGAGAGGACTGTGGTTGCCCCTTAGCCTGTGGTTGCGTGTTTGTAAGTCTACAGCCAGCGCACCTAGCGGAAGTGAACTGAAACGTGCATGTTCACAAACACACAAACCCACAAACACACAAACCAGCACTCAAAGACACGCCGGTGAAAACATAACCTTCGCCAAGCCCATGGCGGAGGTAATTATAAGCATTTAACATTTGAAGGATTTGTTTACTGCGTACGCTCACATTTTACAGTGAAAACTGTTACTTGAACAACGTTGACTTACTTAAACAATAATTATATATGAGATTCTTTAGTGTACATAACGAATACACTCGCACTCTCGCACTGACTGGCTTTTTGTGGCCGCTGATAGCTGCTCAAAATGTAGACTGGTACTCGATCCCACCTCTCGGCTTAGGCCTTGCTGGGCCTGGCAGAGCGAGCATAGCGAGTGGAGTCGACGGCAGGGACCCGTCTAGTCTTGCATTGCACGATACGCTATGTTTTTGATAACGGCCCCTTATCTATCGGAACAGACTTAAAAGTGTGCATTCAAAATATAATTCAAATTCAAATTAAATTTATTGCAAAGATAATTTATGTTTATACAGGCAAGTACAGTGTGTTGTAACACAAGAAAATATCTATACTACGTCAGAAATAAATCCATCTATCTATCTGAATTCAATGAATTCGTTGGCGCCAGGTGTTGCTGCGTTTTGTTTACGACATGCTGGCTACGCTATCAGGCTACGCGCATATGCAAGCAACGTTGATATCTACATTTTACATTTATATCTAATATTTATCTACATCTATATCATATGATTACGTTGATCTGTAACTCTTGACAATTAGGGGTGCAAATACACTTTATGACGTCCAGTATGGCGGCGCTGTTTTACACTAACGCCATCTAGCGCCCGATCTAAGAAACTATGGAAATGTATCGGAGCATACCGTATTGATGACCAAGCATATGTATCTATGGTATATACTAAGCCTAAGGGTGAGCTGCATACATATAGTGTATTCGGCTTAATATTTCGATAACGATTACAGGGAAGATTAAATTTACTATATGTACATCTACACACACGTGTTGTCGTTCATCTGTGTGCGTGATAGGTTGAGTAAAGCATGTTTAGTATGTATACGAAGCGTGTTTATTGACCGCCGGTCAAACGCGAGGCTCATTTTTTTAACCTCATAGCGCTATGGAGGGGTCATAAAGTGTATTCGTCTTAATATTTCGATAACGATTGCGTGGAAAATTTAATTTGCTATATCTACATCTACACACACGTGTTGTCGTTCATCTGTGTGCGTGATAGGTATAGAAAAAAGCATGTTTAGTATGAATACGAAGCGTGTTTATCGACCAAACGCTAGGCTATAGCGCTATGGGGGGTCATAGAGTGTATTCGGCTTAATATTTCAATAACGATTACGGGGAAGACTAAATTTACGGTACTCAACGGTTACCGTATCTTGCTTTTGCCAAAGGTCAATAAACTGCTCGCTGTGTTTCTGTTCTGTGTGAAAGCAAGTGTATTAATTGTTTGTAATTGTTTGTAAACAATTTAGTCTGACTGACTCTCTCCCTCTCTCTCCTCTCGCCCTCTCTCTCTCTCTCTCTCTCTCTCTCTCTCTCTCTCTC